AAACACTTTTACACTGTTGGTGGGACTGTAAACTAATACAGCTTCTTTGGAAAGAAGTATGGAGAATCCTCAAAGAACTCAAATTAGGCCTTCCATTTGACCCCACATTCCCACTATTAGGCATCTACCCAGAAGAAAAAAAAATCACTTATCATGAAGACATTTACACTAAATGTTGATTGTAGCTCAATTTACAATTGACAAGTTGTGGAAACAATCTAAATGCCCTTCAACTCAGGAATGAATTAACAAGCTGTGGTATATGTATACCATGGAGTAATATTCAGCTGTAAGAAGAAATGGTGACTTTACATCTTTTGTATTAACCTGGATAGAGTTAGAGAACATTCTCTTTAATAAAATATTCCAAGAATGGAAAGGCAAGCATTCAATGTACTCAATTTTATTATGAAGCTAGTAGACAATCTAACACATATCCATGGGCGGCACCCTGTAGCTCAGTTGGTAGGGCCCTAGCCACATACACTGAGGCTGGCAGGTTCGAGCCCAGCCTGGGCCAGCTAAAATGACAATGACAACTGCAACAACAAAAATATCCAGCATTGTGGTGGGTGCCTGGAGTCCCAGCTTTTTGGAGGCTGAGGTAAGAGAATCACTTAAGCCCAAGAGTTTGAGGTTGCTGTGAGCTGTGATGGTACAGCACTCTACCAAGGGTGACATAATGAGAATGTCTCAAAACAAACAAACAAACAAAAATATGTCCACATAAGAGAAAAACTTAATTCAATGGGGGATATGGGGAAAGGGAGGGGATTGGTGTGCTCCCACATAAAGGGCACAAGGTGGGGTTGTATGGCACACTTTTTGTTTGTGAGACACAACTACAGGAGGGACTGTACCTAACAAATTCAAAAATTGTGACCTAGTTATTTGTGTCCAACCTCACAATAACCCAAAATTGAAAAAAAAAAACCAGAAAATATTAATTTTACCAGCAACATAAAATCCTAAGGCTGAATGAGATTATATGAACCACATCCTATTTATTTTTAAAAATACAGTTATAATGAATTTTCCTATAAAATATGAAAAACTTTCTAGCATCAGAAGAATTACCTAGTTGTAGTAATAGTTAAAATGCGCATACAAGAAAAAAATAACAATGAAACCAAGAAGACAGGACTTTGTTAGCATCTGACTGGGTCTACATTTACATATTATATAATGACCCTGCATATTTCATCAATGAAAGACTTCCATCAAATACAATAGTGTGCCAATTTCTCCATGGTAGGAATACTATAGGCTAACCATTAGCAATAATTATTTCTGGATGAATGAAGAAATTACAAGGATACATGTGAAATTTACCAGGTGTAGAATATAAATGTCTTAACACAATAACTAAGAAAATGCCATGAAGGCTATGATAACCAGTTTGATGAAAACATTTCAAATTGTATATAAAACCAGCACATTGGACCCCACGATTGCATTAATGTACACAGCTATGATTTAACAAAAAAAAAAAAAAAAAAAAAAAAAAAGAAATAAAGAAATAAATAAAGAAATAAAGAAAGAAAGAAAAAGAAATCCTCAAAGTTGCTGGATTAAAATAGTTTGCAGCTAAGCTATTCAACTTTTGTAAAATATCTGAACAATGGCTAATTATAATCAAAACTACTTTTGAATACAGTAATAAGTTGAATCCTAGAATCTATAGTAGATGCTAAGCAGACTCAAGGATTAAATTAACTATTTTGGAGACAATGAATAGTGAACTTGTTGTGGCAAAGGTTGAACTTCTTGAAATCTGTTCATGCCCCCTTCACTTTGACTACTTCAGGGATGGAATGAAAATCTTTAGGTATATGGCTCTCAAAAATGAGGCTAAATTACATCTAATTCCTCATGTAAAAATCCTTAGACTTTCAGCAAAAAAAATGAGTTATTGCTGCAAAACCAATCAGAAATAATCTTCTTTAGGTTCTCTGAACAGGCAAGAATACTAGAAGACTTGGGTACAAATAGTTTGGCGCACACAACACTGGTAATGGTATAGTTTCAAAACTTATTGAGAGGTCAAATCTACTGCTAATGAGAAATAGATATTATATAACTTTGAAAAGTAAATGACCACATTATTTAAAAATGTTAATGTTTAAAAAATTAAATGCTTCAGAGTTTATTGTGGTTAAACAAGAGAAATGTATAATCTGTGTAAGGCATAAAATTTTATTTGTGATAACAGAGTGAGTTCAACCTTTATTGCTAATAAACAGAGACATTATATTTTCAGGACAAGGAATAAAAACCTCATTTACGGTAACAAATGTGTCTTCTCCTGGTCTCATAATAAACCAGAGTAGTGGACTTGTCCTACTTTTTCCACACCTACTTATTTGCTTTAAAACCTTAACTTAGGTGCCTAAGTTAAAATTTAATTTTTTTTTCTCAATTAAAATGTTTTTTTTTTAAGTAAACATTAAGGTTTTGCAAAGGAGAAAAGAAATCACTGTTACTTTAAAATTTAGCATCAAAGTCCTGATCCTTTCATAGAGTTATCTTTTAAAAAATTTACGGTAATAAAAATATAAGGAGTCTTATAAAATATGAAGTTATGGTGATAACTAAGAAGCAAAAAAAAATTTTTTTTTGAGACAGAGTCTCACTATGTTGCCGTTGGTAGAGTGTCATGGAGTCACAGCTCACAACGATCTCAAACTCTTGGGCTTAAGTGATTCTCTTGCCTTAGCCTCTCAAGTAGCTGGGACTACAGGCATCTGCCACAATGCCCAGCTATTTTGTTGTTGTTATTGTTGTTGCAGTTGTCATTGTTGCTTAGCTGGTGTGGGTGGGGTTCGAACCTACCAGCCTGGGTATATGTGGCTGGTGCCCTACCCACTGAGCCACAGGAGGCACTCAGAAGCAAAAATTTAGAACATATTTAAGTTTGTTGAAAATTATCAATTTTATTTTATTAAATGATAGCTGTGTACATTAATGCAATCATGGGATGCAATGTGGTGTTTTCATATACAATTTGAAATATTTTCATCAAACTGGTTAACATAGACTTTGTGTCATTTTCTTAGTTATTGTGTTAAGACATTCATATTCTACTCTTAGAAAGATTCACTCGTACCCTTGTAAGATAAACCATAGAAGTGATCCCTCCAATCACTCTCCCTCCACCCATTCCCCCTCCCCTCCACCTTCTCCATATTCTTAGGCTATAATTAGGTTATAGCTTTCATATGAAAGCTATAAATTAGTTTCCTAATAGGGCTGTGTACATTGGATACTATTTCTTCCATTCTTGTGACACTTTGCTAAGAAGAACATTTTCCAGCTCCATCCATGTAAACATGAAGGATGTAAAGTCTCCATCTTTCTTTATAGCTGCATAGTATTCCATGGTGTACATATACCACAATTTATTGATCCATTTGTGGATCGATGGGCACTTGGGCTTCTTCCATGGCCTGGCAATTATGAATTGTGCTGCAATAAACATTATGATACAAATATTTTTGTTGTAATGTGCTTTTTGGCCTTCTGGATATATACCTAATAAAGGAATTGCAGGATCAAATGGCAGGTCTATATTTAGTTCTCTAAGTGTTCTCCAGACGTCCTTCCAAAAGGAACGTTTAGTTTGCACTCCCACCAGCAGTGTAGAAGTGTTCCCTTTTCTCCATACCCACACCAATATCTCTTGTTTAGGGATTTTGTGATGTGGGCTAATCTTACTAGAGCTAGATGATATCTCAAAGTAGTTTTGATTTGCATTTCTCTCATGATTAAGGATGGTGAGCATTTTTTCATATATCTGTAGGCCATGCGCCTATCCTCTTTAGAGAAATTTCTTTTCAAGTGCCTTGCTCACCTTGAGATGAGATCACTCATTCTCTTCTTGCTAATACATTTGAGTTCTCTATGGATTCTAGTTATTAAATCTTTGTCAGAAACATAAACTGCAAATATCTTCTCCCATTCTGAGGGCTGTCTGCTTGCTTTATTTACTGTGTTCTTGGCTGTGCAGAAGCTCTTTAGTTTGATCAGGTCCCAGTAGTGTATTTCTGATGTTGCTTCAATTGCCCAGGGGGTCCTCCTTATAAAATTTTCACCCAGGCTGATTTCTCCAAGTGTTTTCCCTATACTTTCTTCTAGTACTTTTATGGTTTCATGTCGAAAATTATCATTTTTATATGACAATAATATTCTTAAGAATGTGATACACCTACTATAATCTTCCAGATGAATTTATCTAAAGAGTTATGTAAAAATCATAATATTTATGATTCAAGAGAACTTTCTTTGAAAATGACCTGAATTTATTCACCTACTTTATTTTTATTTTTATTTTTGAGACAGAGTCTCAAGTTGTTGCCCTGGATTCAGTGCTATGGCATCATAGCTCACAGCAACCTCCAATTCTTGGGCTCCAGTGATCCTCTTGCCTCAGTTTTTCTATTTTTATTAGAGACGGGGTCTCACTTTTTGCTCAGGCTGGTCTGGAACTCATGGGCTCAAGCAATCCACCCATCTCAGCCTCCCAGAATGCTAGGATTACAGGTGTGAGCCACCACACCTGGCCTATTCATCTAATTTAAAAAAATGTTGAAACTTACCTTTTATTTATACTTTGAATTTATTTAAATAAGACATATTTTCAAAATAATTTGTTCCATAATAGTATAGCATATCCAAATAAAATCTTCATACCAGAGATATTTTAAAGCTGTGGTTTCCAATTTTGAAATACTGTATATTCTTTTGAAATACATGAGAGGACCCATGTAGATAGTCTAAGAGTAAAGAAGATAACAAAAGTGCTAATAACAATCCCTGCATTTAAATAGAGCATATGTTCAGTTACTTAAAATAGTTTCTGAGGACAAAATATATGCTATTAATTTATACAAAAATTATCTTTCCTATAGAGAAAGAGATGGAGAAATTTTAATGTGGAAACATAAAAAATGTATCTAAATAAATCTTACTTTGGATTAATGAAGAATAAAAAACTTATGTACCCTCTTTTGATAGGCTGCACATTTCCAGTCTTTGTTGATGAGAATATCCATAGAGTAGGTATGCCTCTTGTAGTGCACTTTTATACCACTTCTTATTATTCTTACATTTTGCTGGCTATATAAATACAGAAAAAGAATGAGATTATTTTTTAAATATATAATTTTGATTTAAAATTCACTTGATTTAACTATCAAGTTAATGTGGAAATTTTGCAAGTTAATAGCCAAAAGGGTCATATGTTTGGTTCACTTAAATAATAGTGATGATATGATTCTCTTTACTTAGAAAGTCATAAAAAGTTAAGGCTCTCAATGTAACAAAGTAGTCAATATTAATACATTTTATTAGCATAATTTTGATCTTTTAGTGACAATAAGTAAAGTGGTAGAAACTCAAAAGCAAGTTTTAAGGAAATCAATTACATTCTTATCTAGTTTTGGTATTATGGCAATACTGACAAATTTCTTAAAATTTCTGTGCTTTCTTTATCTGAAAAATATGAATGATAACAGAATATACATCATAAGGTTTCATGAGCATTAAATGAAATAATAAATGATAGTTTCTGGCATATTAAGAACTCAATAAGTTATTCTGCTTAGATATAACACATTTTATAAATATTTATTTAGTTTCCCAAAAATATAGCCTGTAAAGAAAAATAGGCAAAGAATCTCTGGGTCAAAAATTACCGTAAAAACTTTCTAGTCCAATAATTTTTCCAATGTTATTTTAAAACATAACAAAAAATTGTGTTTTATCATTTGTATGAATGTGTAGATAATTATATATTGGTTTCATAATAGTATTGAGTACATTGGATACTTTTCCCCATTCTTAACATACTTTACATAGAAGAATATGTTGCATTTCTATCCATGAAAACATAAAAGATGTAAATTCTACATCCTTTTTATGGCTGCATAGTATTCCATGGTATATTAATCCATTCATGGGTTGATGGGCATTTGGGCCGCTTCCATGACTTGGCAATTATGAATTGGGCTGAAATAAACATTCTGGTGCAAATGTATTTGTTTTAAAATGATTTTGGATCATCTGGATATATAGCTCATAGAGGAATTGGAGGATTAAATGGTTAGGTCTACTTTTAGCTCCTTGAGTATTCTCCAAACTTCTCTCCTGAAAGGCCATATTAGCTTACATTTCCACCAGCAGTGTAGAAGTGTTTCCTTCTGTCCAATACACTCCAACATCTGTAGTTTTGGGATTTTGTGATGTGGGCTAATCTCAAATGGTTTTGATTGCATTTCTCTGATGATTAAAGATATTGAGCATTTTTTATCCAGAAAGAAGGAGGGAAGAGGAGGGAGAGAGGAAGGGAGGTAGGAGGCCAGGAAGAGGGAGGGTATCTGGTGGGACCTCACCTATTGTGCACAATGATACATTTCAAACTATTAAGAGTAGAGTGTAAATGTTTTAACACAACAAATAGTAAGTGAGGTGATGGTTATGTTAATCAATTTGATGTAATCATTCTACATTGTATATCAAATTAGCACATTATACCCCTTAATTGTACACAGTTATGATTCAACAAAAAAAAAGTCCAAAAATTAAAAAAAAAGTTTTTTATAATGTTTTTAATGTTTAAGTTTATAAAATGCATGCCATCATTTTCTTTTTGAAAACTTTACCAGCAAAAGAATACGGATAGTTATTATATTAATGTATATTTGCCACCTGTATATAAAGATCATATCTTTATCTCAGATGTATAAAATAACTCACTCTTTATACAGAAATGTAAATCTATATAATACTCATACTTATTAATTCAGAAAATGCAACTATATATGTAGGTTCTTTGCAAATGCCATAACTTTCTTGATGTCCCCATATCAACTGTATACTCTCAATACACTTGATATTTATTTTAGTGACTTACTACATTCTGGCTTGTATTATAGTTATTTGTGTTCATGACTGCTACCATCCATAAAATCAAAGGTCCATGAAGATAGAGGCAATAAATAATATTTTATTTTTGCATCTTCCATACTATTCATCTTTGTATGTTATGTAGTATCCTAATATCACTGCATACTATATTATATCATTGCATTCCCATTGGTCCTGGGAACAGATTAATTTGGCATAAAAGCAGTGAAACAACAAATACAAATAAAAATCTACTTTGATACACAGGATCTATAAATTTCATCAGTAAGTTATTTCATAGAAAGAAAAGATAAAAATATAGACAGATACAAACATTGGAAATGTAGAATTATTTTAGGAATCTAAACTAATTCTTGCATATTTAAAACATTTTTGCAACTCATATATCATGACATTAAGAAATTATAGTGAAAATCTCTTTAAGGCTACACTAATAGCTACTAGCTACCCTAGTCCCCATAGGAATAGTATAAGCAAATAGTTAAAATTTTTTCTTTAGGAAAACAAGTGGGATGAACCTAAAATAAATAATTTGGCAAGTTAGGGGGCAACTGAAAATCTTTGTTCAAAACTTATATCTGCAAGTGTTTAAAAGCTTATCAGTGGGCATGTGCCACCTAGTGGCAATACATGTTAATATTTTCTAAAGCTCTACTTTATAAAGAATACTGGATTCCAGAAATTAGACTCATTGTGCATTATATTTTTAAACTAGTTTTTTTTAATTGAAGAAGTGATATATGCAAATACCAACAATATAGAATGTGTCTTCCTTCTCTTCCAAGTACAGTTTCTCCCAAAGGCAACCATTACTATCAGTTTCTGTTATAGTCTTCCAGAGAGACTGTATGAATTTCTAAGTATTCATATAATTTATATAATACACAAATTTTTATAGAATGCAATAAACAGTTATATATACTTAAGTTTTAAGACTGACTTGCATAATAATTTATTGGTTCCACATATCTTCAGGATCTATCATTGAAGAAAACAAAGTTTAAATTTTCCTATAAGAACAATCTACAACAAGCACAAGAAATAAGTTAAGGGACCAACAAACACATGAAGAAATGCTCATCATCTTTAATTATCAAAGAAATGCAAATCAAAACCATTTTGAGATATCACCTAACTCCAGTAAGATTAGCCCACATCACAAAATCCCACAACTGCAGATGCTGTCATGGATGTGGTGGAGAGAAAGGAACACTTCAATACTGCTGGTGGCATTGCAAATCAATATAGCCTTTTTGGAAAGAAGTATGGAGAATTCTCAAGGAACTAATAGTTGACCTACCATTTGATCCTGCAATTCCATTACTAGGTATATCTACCTGGATGAACAAAAATCATTTTACAAAAATGACATTTGCATCAGAATGTTTACTATAGCCCAATTAATAATTGCCAAGTCATGGTAGCAGCCCAATTTCCCATCAACCTAAGAATAAATTAACAAATTGTGGTATATATATATCATGGAATACTATGCAACCATTAAAAAGATGGAGAGTTTACATCTTTTATGTTTACCTGGATGGAGATGGAACATATTCTTCTTAGTAAAGTATGTCAAGAATGGGGAAAAAAGTATCCAATGTATTCAATAATATTATGAAACCAATATATAATCACTTACACAGTCATATGAATCATAAACCACAAATATAGTTCTTAAAGAAGGAGGAGAGAGGAGGGGTAGGGGAGGAGAGAAGGAAAGACAAGTGAAGGGAGGGTATTTGGTGGGATCTCACCTAATGTGCACAATGCAAGGGTATATTTCAAAAAAACAAAGAGTATATTATAAATGTGTTACCACAAAAAATAAGTGAGGAAATGATTATGTTAATCAGTTTGATTTAAGCATTCTACATTGTATATCAAATAATTACATTGGACCCCATAAATGTATACAGTTAAATTTAATAAAAATTAAATTAAAAAAAAGAAATAAGTCTATAGTATAAGAGGTGATAAGCCCTACATAATAAAGAAAAGATAAGGCAAGGTAAGTGTGATCACAAGTGTTGAATAGACTACAAGTACAAGTAATACTCATTGAAAAGGTAACTAACTTTGAACAAAAACCTCCCTGAAGGAACTTAAGGAGTTAGCCATATAAACATCCAAGTAAAGACCACCTGAGGCAGAAAAAAATCCTCTAATGTAGGAGAATACAGGTATGTTCCCAAGAAAGCTGAGTCTGAATCATGAAGTGAAAGGTATCAATAGGAAACGATTTTGGAATATTAACAAAGGCCAGATCATCATAGAGGTCCTTACAAGCCATTGTAGGGTCCTTGGCTGTTACTCTGAGTGAAATGGGAGCCACTTGGAGAGTTATGAGCAAAAGAATAATATTTGACTTGGTATAATATTTTACAACAATAATTCTGGATGCTTTAATTAGGATAGGCTATACAGAGGGAAGTACAGAAGCAGGACAACTGTTTAAGAGGCTATTGCAATAATCCATGCACGAAATGATGGTGGTGGTGTGGAACAGGGTAGTAGGAGCTACTATGGTAAAAAAAAAAGTTAGGATTCTGGACATAATTTGAGAGTAGAACAAAAAGACTTTCCTGACTAACTGAAAATTGGTTGTGAGAGAAGCTGAAGATGACTCTGGAACTTTGAAACTGAGTAGATAAAAGGATAGAATTTTCTATCTAGTGAGATGGAGCAAGGTGTCAAGAAAGTGAGATTTGGAGGGAGATCAAGATTTCAGACATGTTGAGTATGAGATGTACCAACATACAAGAGGAGGATAATTATGATAATTAAATTAGGTCATTAAGTATGAAATGTTCAATTTCAAGTTAAAAGTTTAATTTATTATACCTCAAACAAGAAGCAGTATAATTAATCAAAGTTTGCACCTAAACCATCAACACAGTTCTGCCATCTTAACAGTAGCTTGGGTATGCTAGAAGCAAAGAAGTCTGGAGAAAAGTGGCAATGTGGTTAAAGGTACTTTCCATAGTTTGTTGAGAACAGAATATTTTTCCTTGCAAGAAGTGGTCCAAAGCCAGGAAGAAGTAGTAGGCATTTGGTGCAGGATCTATAGTTTGAACAGCTTTGTTTGTGAGACATGTGGTCAAGTGTTGCCTTGCAAGAGGATTGGCCTGTCTCTATTAACCAGTCTTAGCTGCTTAATCGCAAGCATCATTTTATCCATTTAGTTGTAG